CTGATAATGATGGTGGTAGTGGTGATGATGATGTTGATAATGATGATGGTGGTGATGATGATGATAAAGATGATAATATATATATATTGTAAATGATTTAGATATTAATATCGATGAATGATGCAAATTAAATGCCATTGTTTGGTATATCTGGAAACACACGCACACACAAACACACACGCGCACAAAAATCACATACACACGCACATACATACAAACACACCTGATTAAACCGTGAAAATGCCACCCAGATACCGCAACACTGGCAGCATACATCCGGGTCAAATAGGGGGTAGCAAGCCAAAGGTCACAACCCCGTTCGTGATTGGCCAGGTTAAACTTATGAAGCATAATAACCCGCAAATGTTTGCCTGGGAGATAAGAAGAAAGTGAGAGAATGATGATGATGATGACAGCTTGATGATGATGATGATGATGACAGCTTGATGATGATGATGGTAAAGTTGGTTTGATGATGATAATGAAGGCTAAAAATTTAACGAATCATCAAACAAACATAACGTTATTTATTAAAATCAAACATTCAAATATTCAAACAACTGATCTATTAATACAAATCAATCAATCATCTTATTAACTAATTAAATAACTAGTCAACCAAACAATCAACCAACCAATCAATCAATCAACCAACCAACCATCAACCAATCAATTAATCAACCAACCAATCACCAATCAATCAATCAACCAACCAATCAATCAACCAATCAATCAACCAATCAATCAATTAATTAATCAATCAACCAATCAATCAATCATTCATTCAATCAACCAACCAACCAATTACAGATTGATTGAAGAGGAAATTTGTAGTGAGGCGAATGTACCAAGTATAAGTTCGATAAATAGAATTATAAGGGATCGGCATCAAACTTCAAGATGTCTTGTTAGTTTGTTTGTATGTTTGTTTGTATGTTTGTTTGTATGTTTGTTTGTATGTTTGTATGATTGTTTGTATGTTTGTATGTTAAAACCAAATCATTGACGAATGACACCAAAAGCCAAGCGTCTGACTAAATTTGATTTTATTTGCTATAACGTCACTCAACCACGTCGGCATTCGACTGCACATTTTTGTATGTATGTATGTATGTTTGTTTGTATGTATGTATGTATGCTTGAATAAATGTGTGTAAATATATGTGTACGTCAGTTTAAGTATGTGTGTATTATGTAAGATTGCATGTGTGCGCGCGTTGTATTAGTTTGTTTTTTTTAAAAAATTGTTTTCAAATTATATTACTCGCTGTAGAAAT